TGACTTACAAAGAGAAATTCTGAAAATATTTGAAGACTAGAATACTGCTGAGCATTATTATTAACTTACTAATAACATTAAAAATATCTTTACTCTTAAAATTCTAAACTCACATATTTTATGAGCCATTAAATTAAATCACTTTCAAATTAAATGTGGTTTACGTGATTATTATAAAGCAGATATACAAAAGCAATGACAACAACAAATAGTAACTATCAAAAGCACGTACTTGCAGAAGCATCCCAGAATTTAACTGACCCGTCAGCATGCCTAGAACAAAAAAGGATGTGATGAATAAAGGGAAACAATTAACTTCCCCTTCGTTACAAATACATTGTTACTTTTAAAAATATTCAACTCACTAAAATGAGTAAAAGGTAAAAATTTCATTGTAAACTGGTAAGTTCTTGTCAATACTTACTTATTATGATATAACATAAATAAAATTTCTATCTGCCTAATGAATTCAAATTCATATGGTCTTAAATATATTAGCTATTACTCATTGAACTAGTAAAAATACCGTTTTACTTACCCTGTAATAATTATTTCTGGGTAACTTTGAGCACCCAAGCCCCAGTTACCTCCATTGATGGGCCATTCCTACAAAAAAAGATTATTGAAGAATTGACTTGCAAATATATATGCTTATACAGATAAGAAAGGCAGTATAATATATACAGGTCTTTATATATGTATGAGCACAGTGAATAGAATTACTTCTAAAACTGATTTTCTATAAATTTCTTAGAGAAAAGGTAGCAGTGTTATCAAATACCTCAAGGTTTCAAAATTAAACTAAGATGTTACATTAAGCAATGAAATTCAGGTTTGATACCTTTTTGCTGTAACCTTGACGTTTCTGTCTAACTCCAACTGAATAAAGTGCAGGAATAAGGTCCACGGGACAATCAGCAAAATACTCACAACATGTAACAGGGGACTCATGTAGACTCAAAGGATAAGGATTTTCAAATATAGGGTATCTTTAACAATAGGAAAGAGAAAAAACTTATTAATTTAATAAACTGTAACCTATGACTAACACAATGAAAACCTACATTCTACCAAAAAGATTAGGTTGATTTGACTTATGTAAACATAAAAATGTTGATGATTTTCATTACAGAAGTTGTTACAACAAGGAGCAGAGGCTGGCTGCAGCTCCATCTGTGTATCACACGCCAGACTAAGTGCTTTATACTCCATCATGTTAACTTCTTGTACCACACTTATACATTTCCCTGAAAAACAAAGGCTTCAAGTAGTTTGTCTGAGACATGCCAGCTAGGAAGGAGCTGAAGCAGAATTTTAACTGTGCTGTTAATTAATGAACTATCTGGATTTTACTAGCAGAGTCCTTATCCTTCTACCAGAAGAAATAACATCAATTTCACTTCTTTTTTCCTCCATCAGTGTGATACCCCATCCAAAGTTAAATCCAGAATGTTGTTTTGTGTGATGATTAATCTTGAATATTATCTTGGTTGGATTGAGAGATGCTTATGAGATTAATTAGTAGAGTACAACTCTGGGTTTTTCTGGGAGCATCTCCAGAAAGAAACAGTTAAGTGTGGAATACCCAGCCTGAACATGGGCTGCCACTGGGTAGAATCCAGGGGAAGGACTAGAGGCTGGCTGGCACTAGCACACTTCTCTGCTCCCTCCTCCCCGACGCTGTCAGGTGACCCTTCTGCTTCACTGCACCCTTCCTGCCAAGATGAGGTGATTGCCTCACAACGGGCCCACATCAGTCAACAGAAACATCTCCAACCTGGAGCTAAAACAAATCTTTCCTTTCTCAAACAGTTTCTCACAGGTATTTGTCACAGTGACAGAGAACTAAACATCTTGGTTAGTAAAATAATGTAAAATATAATTTTACTTTAAATGTTTTCTACGCATGAAGTCAGACGCGCTACTGTTGAGCCACAAGTTCTCCACTGTTTTCGAGACAGGAAATTATTTTACTTTGTTGGGCAAAAAATGATTTGAAATCATGAAATTAAAGTAAAACTCTACCTAGTCACAATAATGTTGCTTAGAATAAGTTACTCAAAATACCCCCCAAAAAACCAAGAAACTAAAATATATAAAATGTCTGTGTATATATTAGACTTATTAAGTAGCCTATTGCTAATAATACTTAAACAATAAGAAAGAGGTTTAGAAAAAAATTCTCTAGACTACAAAACAAGCCGAACTGTGTCTGCCTTTACCCCAAACAGAAGATGAAACACAAAAAAAGTAGCAATAAAAAGCAGTTTTCTTCCTTCCCTACCACAGACCTTTCCTGAGCTTCACTCAGCTCCACTATTCTATGTTATCTGGGTAGTATTTTCTTTGAATTAAGCATCTCTCAGTACAGACCACAGGTAAAAATTCTATTAAAACAATTTACCTAATAGATGAAAATAAGGAGAAAAATATATTGATAATACATATTTTCAAGTGGTCTTTTATTTCAGAAAAGTAAATTTAAAAAATCTTATAAGGTTTTACAAATGATTTCTACAAGTAGTAGGCACTAAGTGGAGGAAAGGTCAGGACTGTCTAAAACAAAAAGTAACTTTTAGTATGTGAGGGCTTCCCAACCTCAGCAGAAAGGAAATGCTCAGCATTCAGAGAATCTGGGAGCTCTCCTGGGTACTGAGGATGTTTTGCATTGTATTTGTCTTGTGGCCACTAGATGCCAGTAGTGCCTCACCTAATAAAATGTCACTACCGACACTGTCAAATATTCCCTGGGGATAGAATCGCTCTAGAACAAGGGATGATTCTGAGTGGTAAACAAGTAAACTCCAACAAAACTTAATTATTTCTCAGGAGAAAATAATACGGCACAAAGAGTTCAAAGTACAAAGACTTTCATTGCTAATAGAAAATGAATATAGCAAATACCAGAAGTTGTTAAAAGGAAGCTGTGATGAGGTTTGGGGATTTGCAGACCAGACATACCTAGCACAGAGGCTAGGAAAAGCTTAAAACACAGTGGTGAAAGCTGAGTGGATTTTTGATGGCACAGAAACAAGTGGAGGGCTCTGCTACTGGAAATCACTTCAGATATGAAATACGATGTCTTTTTAACATACAAGTACTTGCCCATGAAATAGGGCTGCCTTGGGAAGATAGTAAAGACCAGGTGAGAAAGAGTCCTCAGATTCTTTGTCAAGTAGTAGGTAGAGCAGCTGCTAAACAAACCAGCAGCAGCAAACAACGGTTAAATTGAGTCTTTGACGAAAGGTACAATGTCTCTGACAATGAGATGTACAACACATGGTGAGAGAGTGAACACAGGGAGGGAAAATAAAAAATTAATCAGAGGTAACATGTGGTCAGTTTTAGATAGTGTTCTTTCAACATATACAGGTGTGAAGCTGCAATGTGTCAGAAATTCAAATTCTGAGTTAAGAAACAGAAAATCTACAAGATCCATTATAATAAATTTGGCAGATTTTTAGAAATGGAGATCTGGAGCTTAAAAAGAAATTACGGTCATGGATATAAATATAAAGTTTTCAAAGAAATGAGGTAGCTGATTTCATGCTAAGAGATCATTTTTGTTTTTTTACCACACAGTAATGGAATTGCTCACCCAATAGTCTTACCCATTTTGTGCAAGGTCTATAAGTACTAAATCCTTTTCTAGAAGAACCACCACAGCATACGGTTCTTGAAAATCTAGAATATGAAAACAATGCCTAAGCAGTTGCTTTACAGATTCAAGAGGGCAGCAATTTAGATACTTAACATTTCTTGCTTCAGCATTTTTGTTTCATATTCTTGAGTGTTTAACATTCAAATCCTAGGATAGTTTGTGTAATTTAAGGCCTGTATGTTTCAGATGAGATAAATGCATGTAAGAACCTATTGGAATTATTTGACTTTTGTGAAGATGAGTAAGACAAGAACCTCAAATAAACGTCTGCGGCATCACATATTCCAGGGATGGGATGGGGCAGGATAGCAAAGCCATAATTTAAGATTGGCTAATTATCATTATTGAATGCAGGAATAACTCAATAGATTTCTATTATCTTCCTTGAATGTTTAATGTATGCTATCGATAACTATGAAATGCATTACCTCTTTGATTACACATTTCAATTCCTCTTGGACCACACACACTGAGCATGATGGCTCATTTTATGTGTTGTCTATGCCATGGTACCCCCAACTGCCTAATCAAATATCAGTCTAGTTAGATGTTGTTGTCATAAATGAACCCTTTAGAAATTATTAGTCAAATTACTAGACTGAATAAAAAAGTTACTCCCTGAATGGGTGGGCATACACCTATGAGATGTTGGCCTTAAGTGTACAAGGTTTCTGAAAAAGTAATTCTGTTTAAGACTTAAATACAGGAATACTCCCAGAGAGCCTCATCTGTGGATTTCAGAATCATGATTTGAACTCCTTCTGGAATTTCTAGACTTCTGCTCTGCTGTATGGATTCAAGACTTCTTAGTTCTACCAATTCATTCATTCATTCAACCATTCATTCATATTCTCTCTCATTCTTTCTCTCCCTCTTCCCTTCCCCTACTAGCTCTACATTTATGGAAAACCCCAGTTAATCTGATGCCTTATATTTAAAATGCTTAATATGGATGGTGATTGTTTTTCAAAGGTACTATTAATATATAATACAAAACAGATTAAGTATATTGAAAAAAACAAACAGCTGAAATAAAAACTTGCCATGTTATGAAGGCAGCAACTAAAAGTATACTGAAGACAATACAGGTCTTTTTTCTAAATATTAACATTTATGGAGAATGAGGGCTTACCATTTGGGTATGGTGTTTCACAGAGTGTTAAGAAATCAACAATAGAATAGTCCATTTCTAGCACAGCAGTACTTTTCCCATGCATCACTGTTAAGCAAGGTCTTCTTCCTACAGTATCATATGACAAACCTCCTGATAAAATAATAAAAGGTTCCCTGGAAAAAAAATGCACAGTTCAGATCACAAATAGTATAGTGGACACTATGTTCCTGCTGTATCATAAATGTTTATTCAGTAAAATAACAGCATCTTAAATTCTGAACTTTTATATCATACAATGGGATAGAAACATGTGGAATTTTTAACTTGATTAAGTTCAAACCCAGGAAAATATCTGAAAATTAAACTATAATAAAAATGAACATGGAACAATCTGACTCCTGTATCTCCTCTTGGTCTCTAACACTTTTTCTTTTATTCCTTATGGAAAATTATTAGAAAATTTACTCTGTTTCTACATAGTTTTTATTTCTAGTCTTTTAAAAAATATTTTATTATTTTTATTTCATGTGTATGAGTGTTTTGCCTGAATGTATGTAAGTGCACCCATATCATGCAATGCTGGTGGAGGTCAGAAGAGAGCGTCGGACCCCCTAGGCTGGTGTTAGGGACCACTGTTAGCCACCATGTGTGTTCTGGGACTCGAACCCTGGTCCTCTGCAAATGCAGTCAGTGCTCTTAACCACTGAGCCATCTCTCCAGCCCCTACTTCTAATCATGTAACAAGACTACTTAATATGTTCCCAAGAAAATCTTAATGCCTTATTTACTGTAGGTAACACACTGACTTTTCAAGGATACACCAAGAACTGTACTAGCTATAAACCATCCTCAACAACTGAGAAAACGGTCACTCAAATAATTTCCTAAAAGTCTTACTTTTGCTCTGGAAGCCACCCAAATGGACCATCAAGTCTTAGCTCTCACCACACATCCAGCACCTGCCAGTCTCCATGCCAGGCCCCCAGTCTATATTCACCAAGCCCCTCTCCATTTTAGTCATTACAAAAACTGTAATTTATCTAGATTTATCTAGACCCATTTTTTTTCTAATTGGTGTCTAGACCCATTTTAAAAACTGAATCTAAGTATCTTTTCATATCATAATGTGGGTATATTTCTTTATCTTACTTGTCATATCTTAGTATAGTTATTTAACGTGTCATATAAATGATTTAATATTTTCTATATAATTTTTGTTAATTATCTTGTCTTTTCATTTATGATTAAATGTTTTAAAGACTTTGTTTCATTTTTAATTATGTGTATATGTACATGTCTGCGTGTGAGAATGTGCACATCATACACGTGTCTGTAGAGGCCAGAAGAGGATATTGCATCCCTGGAGCTGGGGCTGTTGTCAGCCATCTGATGCGGGTGGTGAGAGCCCAACTCAGGTCCTTGGCAAGAATAACATGCAGTCATCCTCTGATCCATCTCTCTAGACCCTCATTTGTCTTTTTTTTTTTAGTTAAAAAGTTTATACTAAAATCAGTGTAGCTAGCTTCTTTCCTACTTTTCATGATGTTATCCTTATTCTTTTCCACTTATGGAATTGTCCGCCTTAAAAATCTATCCCTAGTGATATATGTAGTGGTTCAAAGTTCTAGGTCTGAAAATAAACCATCTGAACTTAAATCTCTGCTCTGGCTTTTCTTTCTCTGTAGTCCTGTACAGGCTGTTTAAGTTTTCTGAGTCTACTTTCCACAAATATGGAAAGGAAACGAACAAACAGGTCCCTACCCTCAGACAATTCAGAAAATGGATCAGTGCCTGGCTTTCAGAACACGCTTAAATATGAATTACTTATTATAAAGGTCAATACCATCAAATTATCACAACAACCCATTGTGAAAAGTCCGCTTATGTGCATGCATATAAGACATGTATAACACAAAAATTAAAATAAAACTTCAAATTATATCTAAAACAAGAGTAAATTCCACTAACATTTAATTGGACTGCTAGTTGTATGGTTAGGGACCATGCAAGCCAATGTAAGTACTGGGGGAAATAAACTGTTTTAACACTTAAATATTTTAGCTATTCAAAATATATAAAATGCACATGTCTGTACATTTAATAGTTCTGTGTAAATACACCCCATGCATCTTATCCTCCTAGCTTTTTTTTTTTCAAAATTATTTATGACGAGGAACTAATTTATTCATTTTTTATTGTCTTTTTCATCAAAATTGCCTGGATGAAGCATGTTTTTAGTTGTTTTATTTACTGCTTTATCTAAAATAGATTCTTTTATTTATATTTTACTATTTAATTTTATTTTAATTATTGACAGCATGTATGTAAGTGCACCCATGTCATGCAATGCCTGGGGAGAAGAGAGTTTCACATTCCTCTGGAACTGGAGTTATGGACAGTAGTCAGGTGCCATGTGGGTGCTAGGACTCAAATCTGGTTTCTCTACAACAACAGCCAGTGCTCTTAGCTGCTAAGCCATCTTTCCAGCCCTAAAACAGAGACTTTTATAGTGCCTACCACACTAGGAAAAGTTACATGCTTCCTCAAATAAATTATTAAGTATGTGCTTTGTTTCATTAACCATATCTAGCTATTAAAGTGATTTGGGTAATATTTTTCCAGCTAAGTGGCAGCAACATTTAGAAACATGTCCTGAATAAAACCACAGTCTCGCAGTCACTGTTTCCAACTCTCAGCATTGTCTGATTACGATTGTGGTGACCAAAAAGTATTTAATTCTCTTGTACTTTTTATCACATACAATGAATAAAATAAATGTATCTTATTGCTGGTTTGCCTTGTACTACAACACACACTGTATGCATGAGGCAGGCAAAGAGTACAATGAGGAATAAATATTTCTTAAATGTTTACAGAGTTGGATCCCTGGACAAAGTTTTATGTGTGGTATCTCAAGGATGGTGGCTAAGTATTTTTTTTCACATAAAACCAATTAAAAAAATAGCACCAGAACAAGGAGCAGGTAGAGACTACAGATGAGATACATTACAAAATAAAAGGTCCAAAACCATCCGTGAAGATCAATTTACATAAGCAATCAATTATATAGTCTTAAATAACATTAAGGCAATTAGTTAGGTTTATCCTCAGAAGACAAGCAATTGTTTTGTTTTGTGGTTTTGCATCTGTTTCTTTTCTAAATGCAGGAGGGAAAAAATGATGTGAATTAAAAAAGAAACGCTGTCTGAAAGGAATGTCGATTGACCTGTCACCAAAGTAATCTTTGTCCTAAGTTTGCTAAACCTAATAATTAATGCCCTTGTAAACATAGTATGTATAATTAACTTCTGCTATTTTGCATGCTGTTTAACTGTTAATCTTGTTACCAAGACATACCCAATCCGTGAAGCTCCTATAAACTCATTATATTAAAGCTTAAAGAATAAATATTAATGGACACTTTATTAGAAGAAATTAGTCATTACAGACAATGATGAAGTTCAAGACTTTAACTTTACACAGCAAAATCTATAAAATTTCAAAGATACAGCTGGCTTTTGGACTTTTATTAAAAATTTGAATGATCTAGATTATTTCTAGGTACTACATGAATTATGAAGGTTAAAAAGGATTTGATTTTTAAAAAATAAATGGATAGTGTTTCTGATGCTATCAGAAGTTCTATAGATGTTTATAATTTTTATTATGATGACAGATGAGGTAACATCAGAATGAAGAGTCAGCTGTTCAAAGTCTTTGGGTTGGGAGGTGACGGTGGTACACTCTGGGTATAAAATGACTGTTGACCAGAGCCTGAGTGAGGATTAAGATGGGCATACCTGAGGAACTAAAGGACTGAGGCAATGGGCAAGGCATGAATGGTAACAGAACACAGAACTCTGAATCCTGAAGACATGCTGTTTATTAGAATATCTAGAACCAGCTGCCTCCTTTCCATGTCACAACTGTTTGAGCTCTGGCCTTTATAGCATTTTGGAAAGTTGTTCACTTACAGCTTTCTCTCATTTTGACATTTGTCTAATTCCCATTTTAAAACAATCAAATCAGCATTTGCAACTCTAAAACCCTTTCTTGACTCATTTACTCTCTATAGGCAGTCACTCCTTCTCCAGACCTCCACTCTGTACTTACCACCATGAACTGCCAAGTGTTTATCTACTTTCCTTCTAAATTCTCTCTCTGTTGCTCTAGAACCTCGCTAGGTCTCTGTCTCTGTCTCTCTCACACACACACATACACACACACAAAATAAATACATTTGAAAATCAGGTTTCTCAGCATTTTAAATACCACTAAAGGACAGCATTGCTTTGGAAATCAATTCCATGCTGCCCATACCTGCCTTAGGCACTAGAACCAGAAGACTCAAGTGAGCCTCCAAATGTCCACTCCTGTAAGCCAGGACCAAGACTCAACTGAAGCTAAAGAAAGTCAAAGTCAGGTCATTAGAGCCAAGTACGAAACAACTCTTTAACCTTAAGAAATAATAGCAAAATACATAAATATCAAGAAATATGCAGATTTACTTGCTGCCGTTCTAGATTTAAGTGGAGATACCAGCATCCGGGCCCATGACTAGAACTTCTAATTATATTATTCCTTACCTCTCTGTATATTAAGAATGGGAGATGAAACTCTAAATTGACAATTTTATGCCATCTATGTTGTTAATTACTTGCATTATTAAACTTTTAAATCTTCAACAATTGTTTTCAAATGGAAAAGTGTAATTCTATTTCAGAGAGAACACAACAAAGTTCTAGTGCAAATTGTTAATAGTTGATCAGGATGTTATATAGGAAATCAAAAAGTAAAACATTCAGATTTTGCTGATTGATTATACAGTATTAAACAGGCTTACACACATGAGATGGTGTGCGGTCAGCATTCAGCCCCCAGCGTCAAGCACTAAGAAGGAAGTGACAGAACCGTAACAGGCTGAGGTGAGTGGGAGAGGTGAGGTCACTTGTGATATGTCCTTGGCCTATGGCCACATTCTCTTTTCACTTTCTACCACCATGAGGTAAGCAGCTTCCACACACTCTCACCATGGCACATTCTTGTCACAGACCCCCAAACAATAGTTCAATGACAATAGACTCAAATGTCTAAAACTGTGAAGCAAGACACGCCTTTCCTTCTAAGCTGATTATCTGTCAGTCACAGAAAGCTGACGAACGCACATAGTCAG